TAGGGGTTTAGGGTTTCTGGTTTAGGGTCGGAGATTTAGGATTCAGCGTTTAGGGTTTTGGATTAAGGGTTTCGGGATGTCCCCTGGCCGTTTGTGTATCTTTACATACTTGAAGCATCACCGGACGTGGTAAGTGGGGATATGAGTAGAGTAACTAGACTGACAACCTCATGTCCGACTCCCCCCAAGCCCAAAACCCTAAACCCTAAACCCTAAACCCTGAACCCTAAACCCTAAACCCTAAACCCTAAACCCTAAACCAAAGCCCTAAACCCCAAGCCCAAAACCCTCCAGAGCTTTGTCAGACCTCATGTTAAACCCTAAACCCAAAACCCTCCAAAACCCTAAGCCCCAAGCCCCAAAACCCTCCAGAGCTCTGTCAGACGTCATGTTAAACCCTAAACCCAAAACCCTCCAAAACCCTAAGCCACAAGCCCCAAAACCCTCCAGAGCTCTGTCAAACCGCATGTTAACCCCTAAACCCAAAACCCTCCAAAACCCTAAACCCTAAACCCTAAACTCTGATCTCTAAACCCTAAACCCAAAAACCCCAAGCCCCAAAACCCTCCAGAGCTTTGTCCTCTAGCAGCCGCTGCCCTCCAAGTCTCATCTGCCTCAGGGGCTCTGCTGACGTTCTACAGCCGCCTGGAGGTTCCCAGACTACGCGAAGATACGCTCGTCATGGCTTTCAGAGTTGCGGGTTTGGGGACTTAATTGGGGTTTAAGGATTCAGGGTTTCGTTGTTGTTTGGGGTTCGTTTGGTGGTTCAGAGAGACCAAAGTCTGTCTTTCCACGTTTGATGCAGCTGTTCAGCTTCCAGAGACGTCCATGTCGGAGGAGCGGATGCCGCATTACGACCCGACGCAGCACACTACAGCCGATGTGGTCCGACAGGTGATCATTCCGATGACGGCAGGCCTTCGCAGGGCATAGTAAAGGCTTTAGGGTTTAGAGGTTTAGGGTTTAGGGTTTGGGGTTAGGGGTTCAGGGTTTTAGGGTTTAGGGTTCAGGCTTTCGAATTCTGGGTTTAGGTTGGGTTGCAGGCCCTAGTTGACAGGCTGCAGCCTCTCTAGGGTACGTGTTTGGAGTTGGGATTAAGCTATTCGGGCTTGTGGGCTAAGGTTTTAGGGCTTGTGGGTCAGGATGGGTTAAGGCTTTAGTGCCTGTAAAATCATGTTTTTTGGATTTGGACGTTTAAGATGATTCGACTTGCATTCTCATCGGGAGCATACACCTTGAATTCAGGATTATTCTTTTAATTACGAGTAGGGTTGCTGATAAAAAAACGCTTAGTTTGAGTCCTAGAGTAGATTTCTTCCTCCAGCTTTCTTTATTTATGGGGCCCGAATACTAGGATCTTTATCATACTGAATAACTAAACCCTAAACCCTAAACCCTAAACCCTAAATCCTCATCAAGGCAGAGTGTTTAGATATCAGCGGTCAGAACGCGCAGCGTCGAGCGACGGCCACTTTTATTTCTCGTTTCGGGAGTGGGTGCGCCATCCGATCACTTGTTCATGCAAAATCATCCGTGCAGCTCCTCTGTTCTACAGTGCTGTAGCGGACCTTCACCGGAAATCGTGGGATGCAAGGACAGACACAATGAATCATATTGGCAATGGGCTCCAACGACAGAGGGTTTAGGGTTTTGACACACATCTTCAATCCAGAAGTAGACCCTCGGCCCCCAGTAGCCAGTACTTCCGAGGCTCAGAACATGGCGACTGCGCTGCAGCATGTGTGCTGATGAATGGCCAGGCCACCGTGACAGAGCTTGCAGCCCACAACCCATCAATTCCCAAGAAATCATTTCGCAGGGAACACTGTGCTGCTCAAGGTCATGGTCCCTGTTTAAGTCCACATATAACCTTGTGTTTCATGTATGGCAAAAGTTGCCTTAGATCAGAACTACCCTCCCCCTTCCCTCTAACTCTTGCAGCACTCCCTGGACCACCCCAAACCCTGTAACCCCTAAACCCCTGGACCCTAAACAGACCTTGCTCCCCGACCGGATGGTCACGCACAACTGGGCCAACAAGTTTTCGCACCTCGTGGCTGCGGTGACCCGGCCCGGATCTTCCCAAAGTTCTCCAAGGGTTTAGGGGTTTTAAAGGGTCCACAGAAGGCCGATACAAAAGCCAGCATTGCCGTTTGTTTTATTTAGACCCAAGCCCGAACAACAATGTTTGTGCTGCTACTTCTGCTACGAGTACTACTATTACTTTTCGACGACGACTGACTGCTGCTTCCGTTACTACTACCACTACGACTGCCACTCTACTCCAATGCAGATAGCATTATCAGTATCACTACTAGATTGACCATACGGACTACGGCTATTCCTAAACCCTAAACCCTAAACCGCTATTCTGCTAGTACTCTTCTCCGTGCTGTTTCTGTATCTCTCGAGGTGTTTTTTGCTACTACGTACTGTTGCTGTCCTGGGTTTAGGGTTTAGGGTTTAGGGTTTTCAACTGATACTGCTATTCGAAAATTGC